ACTTGTTAAATATAAAATCTTCTCTAAATTTGTCATAATCAAATCCAAGAAATATATTTTTATGTAAGCCAGTAATCCCCTCAGGTCCTTAGACCACACTCAATGAACATAAAAAAAAAACATGCTCAATCATCCATACAAAATAAAACAATCAAACATTAACTGTTCACCCCTAACAATCACAAAACTCAAGTTGAGGAAACATTAAACTTTCTCATTTACAACATAATAAGTTTTCAAATATTTAAGACAAGTTAAGCATGCCATCACACACTTGCACATACATTTGACCCATACAAAAACTTAGCTAGGGATTCGAACCTTAACAGGGCCAAAAACACTAAAAATGTCCAAGTTAACAAGTATGGCTACAATGCAAGTGATAAATAGTTCAACCATAAATTAGACCCCTCAGTTGGTAATATTAGCATTCATCATTACACATAATTAATAAGCTAGAGATATTATAATAGTAAATAAATATTTGACCCATGCAAAAACTCAGCTAGGGACTCGAAACCTAATAAGGCTAAAACACAAAAAATGCTAAAGTCAGCAATTAGGGCTACAATGCAAGTGAAAAATAGTTCAAATATAAATTAGACCCCTAAGTTGGCAATATTAATATCCATCATTACACATAATAAGCTAGAGATATTATAATAGTACAGAAATATCTCAAGTCTTAGAAGCCTCTCCTACTTGCCCTTAGCCTAATTATCTCCTGAAAATATTAAACAATAGGGCATGAGATAAAAATCTCAATAATTAAAGAATATAAGTTCAAGCACATGCAAGAGTGGCAACTATGAGCATGCAAAGCGACCATTTTACAAACAATGATTAACAAGTACTCAAGCAATCATTTAAATAATGTATGATATGCATGACTAATGCTTCAACTTTTTTACTCTCCTTATATCTTCTAATTGAATCCATAGGCTATTAATTTAAATAGGACTAAGTTGTGTGACCAAATTAGCTAAAGCTCTCCAATTGTGAGGGTTTACTAGGTCAAAAGCTCCCACACTTATTCTCATACCATGAATTCCTCCTTTTCTTAATAACTTAAGGGTGTCAAAAGTTCTTGACTCACACCATCCCCTTGTAAGAAGCCAATGATATAAGACCACACCCAACCCATGCCATTTCCCAAAGGACAAATGATAATACAAGGTTATAATCAAATCAAGCTCACATGACATACTCATATATATCTTAATACTCAATATAGAAATAACATTACATCATGCTTAAGATTTTGCAAGTTGACAACTTAATCAATTTCATAGCATATAATTATTCATACGCCCACTTTACATAACTTTTCAAAACATAAACATATTAATTTCATATAATGACATGTAATAGGTATTTGACAAACCCATAATCACAAACATCAAACTTATACAAGAATTTACTCCTAGTTACCTCAACCGTTGGTTTACCAAACCAAGAGCACACTTGAAAATCCACAGAGCCTTCAAACAAGCACACAAGCTCCAAGAGTAATTAATATACAATAAGCACCATCACACACTATTAATAGCTAATTGTTATTAATTAACTATAGTCGAAGTCTAACCCTAAGACTTCCATAGAGTTCATTAGCTATAACCATACCCATTTCTATATTCCATTAGCTTACTTAACCTCTCATTAGCCTAAATAACATTATTAGACTACCCCGTTAGCATTAACTTAGATATTTAGCTCTAGGGTTAACTCTAAATCCATCCTTAACACCATAAACCACTGTCATTAACCTATCCTAAAGGTTAGAAATGTGAACAAGAATTCCAAGACTCCAATTGAGTTAGAAGATAGGTGAAATGTTCCCCTATTTTTGGGAAACACCCAACAAAGTGTAAGGACAGTCTATAAAACATATGGAATGTGAAGGAGATGAGAAGGAGAAGCTTACCCAATGATTTAGAAGCCCAAAATAGTCTTTAAAAGTCACCAAAGATAAACCCTAGCAAAACTCTCCTAGATCACTCTCGATCTCCCTCTTAAACTCTCTGTGTTTTCTGTTTGTCTAAAGAACTTAAATTCTATCACATTTGCCATAGCCTAGGTGTCATTCGCCGTTGTAAATGACACAAACTAGAACCCTAATTATGGCCCATTAATTTAGGGTCAAGGTGGTCCAATAATGCCTAAGATCTAATTTTAAGCCTCGTATAAGGTCCAACAAATCCAATAGTAATCCATCCACTATAATTAACCCAAATCACACCTCAACTTACCATTTTACCCCTTAATTACTCTAATTAATTTAAGTTTTAGTATGTTTCCTTATTATAGGGCTCGTTCTAGAAGAATTATTTAGTCTTTTAATACAAGACATATGGAGGGTCATTTATTTACCCCTATTGGAAATTTAATTTAATGGCTCATAGTATACTATGTACCTCTCCCTTTATTTCTAATAGGGGTAAAGTTGAAATTTTTTTTTTATTTTTAAACATATTTAATGAGTTAACTATTATTTCTTGGTTTGGTAAAATGGTTGAAGACACTTTATAATAGAAATTAGAAAGAGTATCAAACCAACAATAACTTAGTTATTGTTAGTAAATCAACTTGGACTTGAGTTAATGATATTGGATTTTTTTCACATTCATCCTTAATCAATTATTGACATTCTTACTCTGTAAATATTAAATTTCTCTCTCAAACTATGATTAATATGGGACATTTCAGGGAAAAAGACATTTTTGGACCATGAAAATATCCCGATAAGTATGGGGTATTTGAGACCAGAGGAACAGGACGTAGATAGAACTATTCACGAGTCACGAATACTTAAATCTTATTTTCCATCATCATCTGTCCAATGTATGGGACCCACACTCATGATCACAATAAAATTCAAAGTTAAAAAAAAAATCGCCCTTGCGGTTAAAACTTAAAACTAAATAAAGCACAAACAAACTAACTGAAATTCACCTGTCATGCAGGTGAATGGAGTCCAACCAACCATGATAAAAATCATATTGCTGAGGAGTAACTTTCGGGAAAATTTAAATGCGTGACGGCTAAAAAGGATGTAGAGAGAGAGGGGGGGAGGGAGAGAGAGAGAAAAGGTGAGAGAGATAACATAACAAAAGGCGTCACTTAATCCACGTAAGCCGAATGACCCAACAGCCTGTAGCCACATCCACCTGTAGTCCAAATTGAGGCATGTAAGCATCCACCACTTCCCTTTTTCTCCTTCCTCTTTATTTAATGTCTTCATTTATTTCTTCTGTCGCTACCCCTACCCTTTATTGTATTCTAAATTCTAATGCCATTTCATCCGTATTAAGCACTTTTTTTAAGAAAAAAAATCATTTTTTTATTTTGTCACCTAAATATTACTCCTTTTAGAAGATTTTTTTATTTTTATTTATAAGTTATATTATTAAATTTTTATCACAAATTTTTTCTTTCACCTTCCATTAAAAATTGAAAAAAAAAATATATTATTAAAACATGTACTTCCTCCTAACCAACATAAGGCATCTTTTAGCAACCTTATTTAGTTCAAAATATAGGGATATTGGATAATTTTTTATAATTATTTTTTCAATTATACTCCTACTTTATTTGTTACTTTTTAAAAAAAATGATGCATTAGAATTTTAATTATTATTATCAAAGCACCTATATAGGGTATTTAATGAGGGTAAAATAGGAAAGATGTGAATTTTTTTAACAAATTAATATTTTAACTAATATTTTTTTGTAAACCATGAGTTAGTTACTAATGTCCTATATTTTGGTCCAAAGGGAGTATATTTAATGGAATAAAGTTGATAAATTATTAATTTTTTAAATAAAATTAATGTGTTTTAAGGTTGTCATTAATTTCAGTTAAATATGTTGAAAGTAACTCATAAATAAGATTAAAGAAATATTTCGTTGATTCTCTCTCTGATCTATAACATATGATATTTTTTATCGGTCAATGTTGGTCTAAAATATAGGGCATTTTGCAAATGGTTAATAGCATTAATGTTTTCAATCTACAAATTTCCTTATTTGGAGGGTAATTATGGAAAGTATTTTGGTTCATATCTTGATTTTCTAAATATTTTCATATTTTTTAATCGTGCTTTTGAGTTGATTAAATATATCACCCTTATTAATTAATTGGAAGCAGCATAATAAAATAAGGATATAAGTGAAAAAAATATATAGAGCCTACCCAATGATTTATAACGAAGCATTATTATTTCTAAAAAAACACCTTATATTATGGTTTGGAGGAAGTTGTACTAATTTTTTACTCATTTAATGATACAAAACATTTTAACTTCTTTTCTTAATCTTTGTTAAAGTAGTTAAAAGTGTATTATATTTTGCATTAGAGAAGTAATTATTTGATGTGGTTATGTTATTTTTGATTTAACTATACGATAACTTCATTGTTCATTGATGATGACTATTTTGTAAATATTTTTATGAATACTCTTTGATTATACATATATTATGATTTTAATAAATTCTTAAGATTCAAGTTATCTAAATTATAGTTAACAGCAATAAATATAAATTCGCTTAATATAATTCATCTATAACTGTAGATTAGAAAGAAAACTTTTTTTTTTTACGTTATTAACTAATACAAATTTTAAGTTTGAAAGGAGACTATCCCAAAATGATTTCTATTTACAAGATTGAAATACTCAGATTGGTTCAAAACTAAAATTTTTAACACCTTTAATCAATTAGAAGAATTCTCATTTTTTTCAAAGAAAAATATTCAATTTGTTTTAATAATAAAAGTTGTCATTTAATTATTTACTTTTTGTTAGATGTCATGATACGTCGTTGATTGATGTAACGGAGAACAAGAGGTAAAGGAGGAAAAGTCGAAGAGAGCCATGAACAAAATAAAGCTATATTAATATTAAAAATATATTTATTATAATTCGTGAAATTTCGACCATGCCCTTGTCAATAAGAATCTAGCTACCTGCAGCTGGTTTTGTGGATGGATAAGCGTGGGACACCCGAGCAAGAGATTGCCTGTCCAGAGACAACGTGAACGAAGGGTATTACTGGAATATTAAATTCGATCCGAGTCATCTTTTGATGTATAAGATGGAAATCATCAAGAACCTTTTCAGATTTAGAGCAGGAAACTTTTGCTGTTTTGGTTTATAATCGCCGGAAAATCCTTCAATTATAGTTTCATGGGAGCTCTTCATTGGTGGGAAAGCGTTAAACCTGCAAATTCTGCATCGGGAATCGATCATTTTGAATGGGAAATGAAAAACTTCTCGTCAGATTTCCAACTTGCCAGCCTTGAAAATCCAGAATCAGAACGAGAAGGAGGCGGCGGAGGAAGAAAAAGAAGAAAAGAAGGCAAACGGGGAAATTCAGAAGCAGAAGAAAAAGAAGAAGAAGAGATAGCAAGGTGCGAATGGAATTTCAGCCTCGCCACCGTAGTCTCTTCTAGCTCCGCTGGCACCGTTTCCGACACGATAGGGTCCATAGAAATCGACCCCACCGATAGTTTCGTCGCCACCGGAGGAATCGCCAGAAAAATAAGAATTTACAGTTTGAATAACCTTCTGCCAAACACGGCCTCGCATGACGAAGTGTGTTTTCTGGACCACAGTGGCGCGTGCGATTATTACATATGCGCCCCAGCAAAGCTAAGCAGTCTACGATGGAGACCCGGGTCAGGAGGTCGGGTCATTGGATCCGGAGACTACGACGGGGTGGTAACGGAGTACGACCTGGAGAAGAAAATCCCAGTTTTCGAGAGAGACGAGCATGGCGGCCGGCGAGTCTGGAGCATGGACTACTCGCATTCAGACCCGGTTCTGGGAGCATCCGGATCGGATGATGGAACCATGCAAATGTGGGATCCACGTTACGGAAACGGCATCGCGGTGGTGACGCCGCCGGGAAGGCGGTCAGTGTGCGGCGTTGAGTTCAACCCATTTGACAGCTCAATGGTGGCGGTGGGATGCGCCGACCACAAAGCATACGGTTACGACATACGGAAAATGTCCGATCCGGTGGTGGTATTAGAAGGTCACAAAAAGACGGTGAGCTACGTTCGGTTTCTGGATTCGCACACGTTGGTCTCCGCTGGGACGGACGGGTGTCTGAAGATGTGGGACATGAAAGATTCGCGCGTGATTCGAACGTACAGAGGACACATTAACAGCCGGAGCTTCGTGGGGCTATCGGTGCGGCAGAGCGGCGGCTCCGGTGGCGGAGTGGGGTTGCTGGGATGCGGGTCGGAGAAGAACGAGGTGGTGGTGTATGATACGAGGTGGGGTCAGCCAATATGGGCGAGAGCGTTCGGAACGAGAGAGGAAGTGGACGAGGCCGGTGCGTTTGTGAGCAGTGTGCATTGGAGGCACACCGCCGGCGCCGGAGGCGACGATGAGTGCACTCTTCTGGGCGGTGGGTCCGACGGCGTCCTCCAGATTTTTGTGGGAAGAAGGACCAGCTGTAGTGCCGCCGCCGCCGCAAGTGTTTGTTAATTTGTTCGTTAGTTAGTTATTTTACTAATCAACTCAAGTTTCTTATCTTCTTTCGAAGTTTGTTCTCTTGTTTTTAATTTGCTCGTCTCGTTCTTCATTCATTCACATAACCCCTTGTGTCAATTTGGAATCCTTGGTACGTTTTAAAACGTAAGATGCCCCTAGCCTACTTAATTTCATCATTCAAGTAGTACTGTAGTAGTGTCTTAACTTTTCATTGGTTTTAAACAAAAAAGAGTGTACGTAGGTGATATACCTAACATCCACATGAATCATTATTTTAATAATTAAGAACATGGCCACTACCAAAATCATGTAAGAGTAGATAAAGTTACAATATACTCTCACCTTTTCTTTACATTAGACATTTTTTAAAATATAATCTGATTCATTTTATATATGATATAATTATTTCATTTTAAATTAAAATTTTCAAACTACCCTTGAAAAGTAAGAGAGAGAAAAAAATTAAATAACTTGTTTACTTTTTGCTTTTTATTTAAGGGTTTTGTTTAAAATTTCACCTACTTTTATTAGTTATACTTTTATTATATTCACATTAATAAAATTATTAAAAATAACTAATAAATAGAGGTGGAAGGAGTATCCAGCAGACTAAAGTAAGAGGGATAATTTTAACATTGAGATTATGTTGATGTGCATGAACAGGTTAATCGGCACATTATTCGTTAATTTTTTTTAGGCGTGATTAATTGACATAATCCAATCTCTTATTTCTGATCCAATCTCACAATTCAAAAAAAAAATATTTAGGGATATTCTTGCATATTATATATATATATATATATATATAAAGATTTTTATGCAAACAATGAAATTATTTGAATCGACACCTTTGTATCTGTGTAGGTTGTGCAAATGAAATCCTTGGTTTCTTCATCGTTCAAAGTGGTGATAAGTCCGAGACCAAGACACTCAAATGGTAATTTTTTTTTCCTTTCTGGGAAAGTGGTCATCATGTGTTATTAAAAAGGGCGGATAAATGATGATAGATATTTTTAAAAAATAAGTTAAAAATATCGATTCTAATAATTATAAATTCAAGAATTTTAATTGTAAATACTTATTTAAATATCAAACGTAATAAAAATTTATATTTGTACCTGTTACAACTTATTTTTAAAAAAAAATTGTGAGGAATCTAATTGTCATTAATTTAAAATTTTAGAATATAACCATCATTCTCTTTATTAAAAATGATTAATGTTAATCAAGTAGGTGTGGCATATATGATAATAATCTAGGCTCCTATAGGATTATTCTAAATTTGATTATTAGAGATGAGAATGAAGAAGATTGTCTGAGAGAGAATAACCTCTTAAATAATCCTCAAATTTTTTAAAGGATTATATTATTTTTATGGCTACTAGCTATAGGGATACTTTGGAGGACAAGAAGCATAATTTCATATACACACTATTTCATTTCTCTTATATTAGCAAAATTGGGAATCTTTTACTCATATCTCATGGCATTGTACATGCACAATTTTATGTTGTTTCCTATTTATCCTCTTATTATCAAACAGAAATATTTTATGGAAGTTATTGATATTTTTATACATAAAATACTTTGAATATCATCACTCATAAATAAATCTAATTTTATTTTGATTTCTTATTGATAAAGAGTTGTTAAAATGTCTATCCTTAATCAGATTAAATAATACTCGAATTTCATTCAATAGAGTGAGGTGTGCGTAGAGTCTGTAGAAATAGACCCACAATGGAATGATTGAACCGATCGAAGGAGGCCATGTGTGTGTTTCTATATTAATGTTTAATTGATATTAGAACAAAAGGTGCATGCTTTTTGTACATTTATGCATTACATTTTTATGAAATTTTAAAAGAAATAATGCAACAAAATTCCACATAATGATTTTATTCATTATCTCTTCTCCATTCATCCTTTTGGAAATAATGATGTAAATCTTTTTTCATGGTTTTGTCGTTTGGATATGTATACTTATATACTATCTTTATTTTAAATTATAGGATATTTTTTAAGAAATTTTTCTATTTTAAAATATAAGACACTTTGAGTAAATTAAAATTTTATTAAATATATCAATTTTAATATTATCTTTTTTCTCTCTATAATTAATTTTCATCCATTCTCTTTTCAATATATTAAATAACAGGTATTTTTAAAAGTTTATATTTTTATTTTAAAAAAATAAGATTATTAAATGTATTTAATGAGATTTATTAGTATATAAAATTTTATCTAAAAGTATTTTATAATTTGATGTGGAGAAAATATTATATATAACTCTTCATATAAAAAGGAGACATCAGACACGCATTCTACGATGTATATACATGCATTGCTTAGAGTTTGAACCGACAACATCCCTTTTCATAAGGAGGATGTAATCTTGTTGCGTTGCATGGGTATAAATCTTGTGTGATTGTAAGATTTGTAACTAAAACCAAACTATGGGCTCGTTTGTTTAGGATTAAAAAATAAATATTTTTATGTTGTTTAGAAATTTTATAAAAAAAATATTATTTTATGGTTGATTACAATAATAAAAATGATTATCAGGTGGTTATTTTTAAATTTTATGATATATTACTTGATTTTTGTTTTATAAAAATAATTTATTTTAAAATTTTATGATATATTCATCTTTTCTACACCTTTTTTACCTTTTTAAAAGAATATCTATCATCTTCTATATTAGATTATTTTTAGAAACTACTTAAAGTAGCTTCTTAAAATAATTAAAAATCTATTTGTTATGAATTTTGATTATATTTAAAAGTTTAAACAAATATTATAAGAACTTACAAAATATATTTTTTAAAAATTAAGTGATTTTTTTATGAAATAAACTAAAACAAACAAGCCTTATATAATAGTTTTTCTCATAACCATTATATATTCAAAAACTGTACAATGATTATTTTTTTAAAAAAAAAAAGCTGTTATATAATTGATTGAAAGATTCCGTTGTATTAAAATTGGAACATACTATACAATGATTGTTTTAAAATAACCGTTGTATAGATATCTAATATATAATGATTAAAAATCGCTTCTATATATTTGCTTGGATAATATACAGCGTCTAAATATATAATGGTTAAATATCATTCTATATAAACAATATATATATATATATATATATATATATTAGTAATGATTCTATTTCCTTCGTCTCATACTTGCAACTTTACACCACTAGTGGCCGAGAAGACACTTTTTACAATAGTTACCATGAACTTTTTAATTGTAGATGTAAAAACGGCCAATATAAAAAAATGTATACGTTTTGTACATTAGTTTTTCAGTTGATGTAGAAAAGAGATTCCATATTGATTAAATTAAAGGATACCGAAGATGGAAATTTCAAAATTCTATACGAGTTTTGCTCAAAATTGATGTAAAAAGTGAAGTTTCTAAATCAAGTTCTTAAGATATATATATATATATATATATAATGTCTTCCACATCAAGTGCTCAAAAAATCGATATAGAAAATTCAACAACAAATATTTTATTTATAAAAATACTACTATCACATTTTCTAGATTGATTCGTTTACATCAAATGTAAAAGTTAATCTTGACATTAAAAGTTTTTTAAACTAGTGTTAGATTCTACTATTTTGAATATAAGATTTAAAAGATAACCATCACTCCACTCAAATTGAATTGAGGGAGAATCTTATATAGGGCCCTCACGGAGAATAAAAAAATTGCATTTAGGATTCAATAAATTTTGAAATTATTCTGTAGGTCTAAATACTTTTTTTGCAAATATATTTTAAGTTGAAAAGACACAATTGTCCTTAGTAAGGAAAAATAATTTTAGATTTATTATCAATGGACAATTACTTATTAATATGTGAACATAAAGTTATTAATTTGTGAACATTTAATTATAAAAATTGGAACTTACTATCATGATGAACTTTAGTCTTGAATGTATAAAGTCATAAATTCTATACTTTGATTTTGTGAGATAAACCTATACTTGTAAATATTCAAACTTTAAGTTAGCCAAAACAAACTTGTTAACTTAAATAAGAATTTCATTATCAATTGACAATTGTTGATTAATATATAGACTTAAAATTGTGAATTGGTGAACTTGAATATGTAGTTGTAAATCTGAACTTACTATCATGATGAACTTTAGTTCTGAATATATGAAGTCATAAATTTTGTACTTTAACTTCGTGAGTAGATGAACCTGTACTTATGAATATTCAAACTTTAAGTTAGCCAAGAGTAACTTGTTAGCTTAAATAAAAATTTCACTACCAATGGACAATTATTGGTTATGTAAACCTAAAATTGTGAATTGGTAAACTTGAACATGTAGTTGTAAAAATCTAAACTTATTGTCATGATGAATCTTTCTAAATATATGAAATCATAAATTATAAACTTTAACTTATAAATAGATGAACCTGTACTTATGAATATTTAAATTTTAAGTTATAAATTTATTAAATTGGCCAAGACAAATATGTCAACCTTAAATAAGAATTTTACTTCCAATGGACAATTACTTGTTAATATGTGAACATAAAGTTGTGAATTTATGAATATATAGTTGTAAAAATCTAAACTTATGCTTATTGTCTTTTCTCAGAGCAATTATGTTCTTTCTCCTTAAAACATATTTGCATAAAGGACCTTTTTTATAGAATAATTTTAGAATATATTGAGCCCTAAGTTTATTTTTTCTCTCCCTTTGGAGCTTTAGATGAGATTCTCCCTTAAATTAATCAGGACTTCTCTAAAAATTGATTGGTTTGATTAAAAAAGTAAAAAAAAAAAAATATTTGGAACACTGTTTTAGTCAATGTCATATTGGTTGATTCAGGAGACACTGCCTTTGGCCCAAAAAAAAAAAAAAATTAGGGGACGCTACACACCAACACATTTTGATACATATATACAGACATACATACATACATATATATTATATATATATGGGGCCTTATAATATTCCATTTTATATATTAAGCAATTACAACTTTAATTTTGTGAACTATAATAATTAAATAAAA